CATTCCTCTGCGCCAGATCCTTCTGGATAACAAGAAAATGACCTCATTCATGTAGATTACCCTATTCATGTAGAGCTAACCCGAAATTTCGAGTTACTTTTCTCAAAATTTTGAGTAAATAAGTCAAAATTTCAAGGACGATAACTTGAAATTTCAAGTTATGGATAGGTTTTTTTTGTGGCGGAAACGGGCTTCCATACAAAATACTACAAGCACAGTTATATTTACTAATATGACTGTAATAAGTAATAAACAAAAGGACCTTTGGATGTTCAGTCATCCTATTATGTTCTCTTAATTACAGTAGGTAAAGTCATTCATTAGTCTTTGTCTCTGTACCTACTCTACCCTGCTGTGTTATTATTATTATTATTATTATTGTAATACTTTAAATGCTTTCAAAGGCTCCATTAACCCCCGGAGTAGCAGCCGCCTGCAGCGTACTGCAAAGCTCCAGAGACAGACAGCGGCCAGCTTTACTGTTTCTTTCTTCTTCTTCTTTTTTTTAACAACCGAAGACTCATTTTGTTCGTGTATTTCATATTTTATTTGACAGTCCTGACAGACAAACTCACACACACACACACACCCATCACATTACATCATGGGGAATCTTTGGGGAATTCTGATGCTGTCTTACAGAGTAATGACAGCATGTTACTGTAATTCCATTCAGTGTGTTTCATGCTGATTTTCATTGTCACTTGTCATGATGGTGTGCCAGTTGGTGCTAATGCAGATGAGCATTAGTGCGCCGTGCAGGGGGGTTTATTCTCCCACGCGTCAGTAGATTACATCACCATCCTTCCTCTTCGATTTGAACATGATGATGTCTGTTTGTTTGTAAGCTGGCATGACAGCGTGACAGCAGGGTGAGAGCCTTGAAGGAGAGATGACAGAAAAAGGATGAGTGCCAGGCAAAGAAGGGAGGACTGGGAGGGCTGAAAAGCAGGAAACAAGGATGTCAGGAGTTGGAGGGGCAGCCGGAGGCGGTGATGATGGATGGAAAGCCGTGGCTGTTCTTGTAGGGTTGTTCCTAGTTACGTGTACACTGCCTCTGTGCATGTAGTGAGGATTTTTTTAAAGACTAGCGAGTTTGTGGGTTATATCTGTGTCTGTAAAATAAAACAAAACAATGACGTACGCTGTGTCAATGCTAAGACCTCAAAACTCAGCAAAAAGCCTGAGAGAGATTTTTAATCAAATTAAAAGAACATCTAAACATTTATCGTCATTTTTTTGGACCCTGGTGGTGGCTGATGGTTAATGCAGCTTTAGTCCAACGTAACTCTTTGTTGTCCTGTGAGTCACTGTTAGGGATGTTTTTATCACCTGGAGCTGTAAAAATGTGTTTCTTTGTTTTTTAACTTGAAATCCTTCAGACAAAGTTAAATTGTTACCCCCAAAAAACCCATTGATGCAATTAAGTTTTTACTAGGGGTGCACCAATATATCGGCCTATTGTTGTTGTTGTTATTGGCCCTGTTGACCGATACTGGCAGAATTTATGGTTATTATTAGTAATATTAGAATCAGAATCCACCATCTGTCCATCTTCTTCTGCTTATCCGGGGCGGGGTTGTGGGGGCAGCAGCCTAAGCAGAGAAGCCCAGTTTATCCGGGGAAACACCAAGGCGTTCCCAGGCCATCCGAGAGATTATCAGAATACTTAATCCGTAAGGAAATTATGTGGTTACAGTTGCTCCAAGACAATAAGAACAGTTACAGACTGAACTAAATTAAGGAATTCAATATATTACAACGTTATAAAATAAAAGGAATAGCTCTAATATATACAACAGCTCAATTTTAAATATCCAGAATATTATATAGATTAAATATGTATGATAGATCTTTTACTCTAAACTGTAAAACTTCCATTCCATCCATTTTCAACTGGTGAAATGTAAGAAAAAAATCATGCGAACAGCTATAAACTACTTTCAAGCAGACCAGTTTTTAAAAAAAATAAAGATTTGTTTTCTTAGCACAAAAATAATCAGATTTAGTCCTCTTTTGTATCTCTATATGAATATGCATAACCTTTGGGTAAGTAAAACCCTCCCTGTCTCTAGGAGTGGTGCAGCACTGGTCTCTATGTTTTGGTTTGGGGAACCACTCGCTACTCCAGAAATCCATAAATATATATTTTTTTCTGTCAAAGTCTCGAGTACGTTGTACAGCAAGTTGCTACTTAACTTATTTTTTTTTATTTCTTCTGTAGAACATCAGAACACCTGAGATCTGATGCTACCTGCCATCACCATGGAAACAGAGGCCAGTCACATGCTCGAGGCGGCACTGGAGCAGATGGACGACATCATTGCAGGTAAAGGCTAGAAATGTCCAAATTAACACTGTCGGATTTGA